TCATGATAACGATAGTTATTTCCTTTTCCATTTTCAAAAATGTCTAATTGAAAAATAGATACTTTCCAATTTACATTTTCAAAAAATCTAAATTGTATTAAAGAATATTCGATATCAATCTTCACAAATTGATCTATTTTGTTAATATAAATAACAGATATCTCCACTTTTTAGTTTCCTAAAATATCTATATTCACGATTTAAATTGATTGATTTGTATATTTGAATAATAATTTTAACACCATTATGTAATACTTTGGTGTAAATATTTTAACAGCAGACTCGCTTAATTAGTATGCTACACCATACCTCAATTACAATCAAGGAGGAAAATAAACAAAGTCACCTAACTTATATGCATTATAATTTTGTACTTTAAATACAAAATTTGGTAATATATTTAATGACTGAAATGAATACATGCGTTCTCGAATTAACTAAAGCCACGAGGTATCACTTTGATAGTGTTATTACAATGGAATTTGAATACACAAGATAAGGAATGTTTGTGATAGGGCTTAACTGGGCAGAAGCTGATGTCCCGTTAATCATAGTTTATATAAGTTATCACATGTTATCATATCTTAATAGCCTGCTTATTAATACCGCTGCTTAAACACAAACAAACATTACTATTGCAAGTAAATATATTGCTACGGAAGTGGGGCATCTCATCATTCGAAATATAATCTTCCAAAAGCTGACCTGGGCTTATGATTATGTCTGATTTTATGGAGATGTCCCCAGATACTCATAACATTAAGTGTCAGATAAGGTGTTATGGATGTATGTTTAGATATACACAAGTTAATTAAATAATGAAATACTGAAATTACTATAATCACAAAATTAAACTTTATATCGCATCTTACTAAGCATATGGTCATGTTCTAGATTCTGCTGACCATGAATATATTTTACCATTGAACCCGGCCATTGAAAAATTTATTCAAATTTTAATGTAAATTGGAGAAGGAAAAAATACAGAAATGTCATTTTCATTCTCGTCTTTGCCAGTAACAATTTGCGCACATGAAATTTTCAATCAATTTGTAATTGTATTTTATCTTCATTACAAAGGCCAAAGACAATTCAGTTAATGGAGCTACGATCCCCATCCGTTTGAGTAGTCTTTTCTTGTAAGACGGTTTAATTCTACTAACTTAAACAGCATCATTTCAATGAAACTCAAGAGCACTTCTATATCGGAGCTCTAAATGAGTTTCATTGCTTTCATTTAGTTACAGAGCTAAATTAATATGAAATCTGAGAATGTCCTTGATTGTCTCTTTCCGAATTTCGATGATTTGCTGGAGCTTAATCTCATTAGAGAAAAACCCGAGGACTGATTAGTCTTTGGTGTTCTTAGTAATGAACCCGACTCTTGCATCTCGGTAACATTTTGTCAACATATCCATCGAGTGAAATCAGAAGCCAAACATGTTTGCCAACTTCAAGGATTGTTTTCTTGGTATGAATCTCTGTGTCATAATAGCGTTGAAGAGGTTGGTCTGAGTCTTATTAAATAGGGTCCTGCAATTGATACTCTTCCGTACTAAGAAACCAGAGGAGGTCCTTAAGCAAAGGAACAAAGGGACACTACTATGTAACTTCTACCACAAATACTAGTTTTATTTGAGGAAATTAGTTATATTAGCATTTGCTCCTAGACATGTAGTATCTTACACTTGGAATTGGGTAAAGCCTTTGACGATATTTGGGTAAGCTAACAAGTGATTATAAGTGTGAAAAGCTGTGTATTTGGTTCGAAAACTATCATGATTCGATAGTTTGCTTATCAAATAAAAAATGTATATATCCCATATGTAATACACTTAGTTTAAACTTATAGCATATTGATTGTTTGGATTAAAATCTAGCAAAGGCTTCTCCAAAAACGGAATTCCTGGATAGATTTAAAACCATAGAATTTCGAAACCGATTATCAATGTTACAGTTGACCAGATTGCATTTGTTCGAAATTGATCTTTTCTAACTTTACAAAGTGAAGAGATTAAATGAACGAGGACTGACTGGTTTACAAACTGAGTCATTTATTAAAACAATTATGGAATCATCCCGCTTTTGGGATCTTCTCCCTTTCAATCAGTACTTTAGATTATTGGATGTTAACTCAATTTACAGATGACATTTGTAGTCTGATTTCCAACGTTTAAATGTTTCTTTGGAGATATCTCGACGGCTGCGTATCGTGTTGTATATTATTACTAAATTGACTAAAGATCTTCCTTTTTGATGCAAATGGAAATAGGAAGCAGCAAGGTGACTATAACTTCTAACAAAAGAAGTTTTAACGATTTGCATTATGAGCAAATGTGTCTGTTACATATCGTAATGATAGTACTCACTGATTACATAAAACATTTAGCTTTTTAGAACTAAGTATACAAGAACCATTGTCTACGTTAGAACAGCTGTAAGATCATATTATTTGCCATTATCTTAGATAGTCTTTTATTCTCAGATCTTCTACTAAACATTCATGGCTTGAACTCAGTATCTGTATTATAAAAAAATATAGTTCGCTGAACTGTATGTGCCTGATTGGTGGTAACGTTCGATTATAATTGTTAATAGTTATAGAAAGATGCGATCATCGTGTCAGATGATTATGAGGGCTTAGATGATATGAAACCTGTATTCTAGTGCATCTATGATGTGAGATAAGTACTGTTAATTTGCTCTTTGAGGTATAGTACACTAACCACCAAACGCAGTTGGGACAACATTGGTTGAAAAATTACGCGATTATGCTACAAAAGGTAATCCCCTGGCAAAACATTTGCATGATTTTTATATTTATGTTATGCATAGAGTATAGTTATTCTATTAAATATTTTGATGAGCCTATATCATCATCTATAGATATACGTTTAGCGCGGGCGTCCGGGTGTCTGGCATAAGAAAGTGGGGATCTAGAAGTGTAACATGTGCAATGACACTTTCAATCCACTCTCGACTGCTAAAACCACAGTGCCTCAGGATTAGATTACACTCAATGTTAACTGGGATCCTAATAGTTGCAGATAAACTTGTGCTGGCAGTTGCTTTTTCAGGTGCCTTGGTAATATTTGCTAGGATTATAACATCGCGTGTGTGTCACTGTCAGGTTAAAATTCAAAGTTTAATGAAGAAATACCTGGACCTTTGTTGGGCTGTTCGCTACAAGAAGTGACCATATTGCAAATTGGAACTTTGATTGATGAAAGCGAACTTACATAAGCTGCTAAAATCATAATTAATAATTCAATCACACATTTTACATAATACATTATAATCATACACAAAGTAGCCGCCTCTATTTAATCAACACCATGTATCGCTCAATGAACACTGAAAACCTTAAAAGGGACTACATCCAACGATAGGCATCCCGGAATAATACCTCCACAATCCTAGTCAACTTTAAGAATATAATTGAAAAAATAAATTTCAAAATAAATTGATTTCACGTTTAACACTGATTTTTATAATGTACAAATATGATCATTTCATTATTCTAAGCATTTACATGCTTCGCAGTATAACAAAAAAATAATTTGCTCTTCAGACTCACATACTTACTGGAGATATGAATATCAATATACCCATTGTAAATATTATTAACAATATATTGCAATTCTTTGTTTTCGTTTATATGTTGATGAGAACCCTTGACTCGGCCGATGGTTCACTAATCCATCCACTTTATGAAAAGCAAAAATCAATGGACATCAAAAGCTATGGCATGTATTTTATAGAATTGTTCATGTTCATTGTTCGGTATATTTCTGTGTATAAAATATATACGGTTATAGTTCAAGTGCATTTCATATTATTTGTTCGAGTACTTGTTCGAATTTAGCGATTTTCTGAAGTGTTTTGTGGTAACTCGGAATTTCAATAAAATGAATACCGGGAATGAATATAATGTTTTAAATAACAGATTGCGACATATCTTTTGCATTTTATCCATATATTGTTAGTAACACGTGTGTTTAACTTGGTGTATATTTCACATTGATATACATATTTTTGCAGTATTCCGCAGACCATCAACTATTGATTCATTCTCTAGACCTTATTCACGGTCAAAATAAAATGATATCATAAGATGCTTCAAGATATTATTATAGCAGAAAACCGATCTCAAATTCACAGAAATAAGATTATATGTTAAACAATGCCCCCGTATTCTCGAGATGTTTAACATACTTTTATTTACGTTGGGGTTTCATCCCCTGCCAGCGTCTTTGTTAGGGAGTGAACGATGTTGACACGGAGTAAAACATTTGTAAAATATCAATTGCCAGAGTCAGAAATGGAGACTTTATCAATATCACGATTCTTGTGTACACATATCACCCAATATGTGAGTCTGATATAAGATAATTAAGCAAATAAAACAAAATTGAAACAATCTAACGTTTACACAGCGTATCATATAAGATTCCCTCCCCTTAGGCATTTTATTGAAAAAGTATGATAGTCATTTATACTTGAATCTATAAACGGCTAATGATATATTTTGATTCCCCTGCCAACGTTCGATAATGTCTGTAGATTCCGGAGTTTTAATGCTAAAAATATGATCATTGTTTCAGAATAATTCTTGATTGGTATTTTAATCAATGAACATAAAAAATGCATGGTTATAATATTGGATGTTACAAATCTGGCTTTAGACATATTTAATTATTTTTTACATTAAGATCACCTGAAGATATTTTTAAAGATTCGAATCTAGGCGGAGCAAACCATTTTGTTGAAATATATTTCATAATGAATGCATAATTTAAGTGAAAAAGCAGATATGCCAAAATTACCGAATATGAAAATTTACTAAACAAGGCTCTATTAATCATAAATAAACAATAAACAATATTGAAATATCATTCAAAAAATGTAGGCTGAAATCCCAAGAATAATAGAACGTATATTCATGGACCATGGTATATTTTACATGATTTTAAGTATCGCAACCATTTCTGTATTTCCAGATTACATCTAAACAGAAGCCACTCATCATCCAGTATGGATGGGGTCGGAGAACATGACAGTAAATCCCCGCCCATGTCCCCTCTATCGATGACGTCAGACGAAGATGACCTATGACATTTCAATTGATATCACGATGGACTTAAATTATATCATCGGGTGATACCTATATTCAAGACACCTCCCGGTCTTCATAGTGCCTGCCTAGCCACTTTAAAACCACGAAGAAGGAACCGTTCGGAAATATCTCTCACTCGGAATGATAGCTACGAGGACGTGCGATAGTACGGGGATCCATGGCGGCAGCCGCGTTGATAAGAAGCTGCAAGAACCAAAATGCCAATTAATAAACTATAAATATTTATTTGTGAACAATTGACATTAGACATGTCGAACATGCTTTGAAACCAGTGCTAATTTTATTTTACATTATGGTCGTTTTGACCTAGTTCATTTTTAATAACCTGTATAAGTTCAATTGGCATACATCAAGTATCTCCCGAGAATTTTCAGTATTGAATTGAAGTTTCCAATCAATAATATCATAAATAGTATTTACGATCATAATTGCTTATACAATTAACTATATAAAACTATGTTTAATAACTTTATATGAATGATCTAATACGTAATGCTTTGTGTGTGTGTGACAATCTAAACAAAATGGCGTCCATTTCGTCTTCGTGATAACTGTGCAAATGTAGGTCATGACACACCTAGAATTAAATGTGCAAATGTCATCAAGGTTGCGTCCCTGACAATCAGCTGTTAAAAAAGTAGTGTGTTCCTCGATATGTTAAAAAATCTAGTTTCTCAAAGAGATTAGACATTGTGAATATCTGTACAGTAAAATTGTATAAAATCAAATATCGGAGAAAATGTCAAACTTCAAACATCGACATGTTACACTTTTGACATTTTGTTTAATGTTTGTAAAACCGGACAATCTGGTTATGTATATTTGTAGATAGAAATAATTATTATTATATTATGTTAGCGTCTGACCTATGATATGTTGCCATTTGTTTTATATTCTCAGTGGAATCAGTCGCTTATAGTGAAAGTAGATTCGGGAACAGGGTACGTTGTTTTTAAATGTGATACTTATCAAAGAATTGCTTCGACTTCTCATCTATTTGTTAAGATTGTCAGCAAAACCAAGGGAAGCAGGGTCAATAATTAATTTAGTATTATGTTGTCATATACTGATAACAAAATTATTTGATATATTATACTTGATATAATAATATTAAAGATATAAAATAAAGCTAAAACTCAACTATAATTGCAATGTGTTGTGTTTCCATATAATTAACATTATTAAGGACACTTAGTCCCATATTCTTTCGCAAATTAATAATATTTTCCACATGGAATATTTCCTAAGAAATTCAATTTTTCCTTATCTTAATTTTCTAATACTGTGCAATAAACCAAGCTAAGCTGTGCTATTTCAATATTTGAATGTTTCTATTTATTCAGAAATATCACACATTTAAGATATATCTCAAGTATTCTGGCCACGCTTAATACTTTCTTAAAATATATTATATATGTATTGCTGTTTGCTGTTTTCAAACCGAAATTTAACATACATGTATAATAATATGTATTTTAAATTGGAATTCAACATAAAAATAATTATTTTGAAGAATCTTCATTTGCTTCATAAATATCAGACACATTTCAGATTGAAAAAATCGAGGAATTTTAATGAAGGTATTTATTGACAAACTGATAGTTTTACTTGCAAACTTCACACTCCCCTTATCACTCTGATTCCAGTACCAATATGTCAAACAATTTCGAGGTCTAAATTCCTCTTCCAATACATATCTGTAATGTATGTGTATGGTCTTCATTCCTCGATCGTTCCCATCAGATTCATATTAGATAACTTCATATGTATATATAAGACCTTACTTCCAATAATGCTTTTAGGAAAAGGTAAAATTTGATTTCTACTCCGCATCTTGGAAACGGGAATAAAAATACAATAGACAATATCACTGCTTTCAACTCAACTATAATAGGTAAAACAGTATAATTTACAATTTTTACTTGCGCACTGGAAACCCTTTGTTATATATAACTGGCTCCAAAGATGATTACCTTTCAAAGCTATCACTTTTAGTCTATTTGCTTCTTGTCACAATTAGACGATTCCCACTGTGATATATAAAAGGGGGCCATTTAATACATTAATACATCTGTTCCTAACTAAATTTTGCACTCATTGAGACATTGTAATAACATGGTTCGTTTGGAATATTGTTTCACACGATTCGAAATTACTGTGGCTTGAAAGTGCAACCATTATTTTGTCAGTCAGATGAATGGTAACCATTGTTTGGTTTTGGGTAAAACGTGCGTAATCGAGCAGAAGTGTTAATGTGGTTCATGGCTGAGTGACGCCATCTTTAAATCAGATACCCCTATTTCTTTCAAAGGAGATCGGTTGGTTTGTAATTATCGCCAGGTTATTTTTGATTTGTTATTTTATGGTTTTTTGATTTGTTATTTTTGGGGAATGCAGGTGTTTTGCGATGGGTCTCTAAAAAGAACAATAAAATTGTTTTTTTTGAGAAATTGATAATTATAATGTGACCTAATAATGAAAGGGCGAACTATAATTTAGAATCTAAATACATCATTTGACATGACTATGTCAATTCTGATCGAAGTGAACAACCCTTATTTGGCTTTATTCCTCCATTGTTTCTCAATATCAATTGATTTCAATGATAATGTGCCAGTTTACAGTATACCATATGTCCCATGTGTTGATCAAAAACCGGCGATAACTCTGAGATAAATATGTATTATGAAAATATTTCATATAGACTACTTATAGTGGAAAGTATGAAAGTATGATTTAATAAATAGTAAAATATAAATAACGTGTCCAGATACAAAAAATATTTTTGATGATTTTGATTTATCAAGGTATTTCAACGTTCATATGGAAATATGAAAGATTAAGTTGTTAACTGGCAAAATAGCTAAGTACTACGCGTGTAGACATTCACAAACCTGAAGTGGCCAATACTTGTTCATTCACTTATTTAAATGGTTGAACTTGGACTCCCAGAGAGACCACGAGAGACAAAGTAGACGAACTGCATCCAAGGATTCCATGCCTATATCAATAACCTGGAAGTGACATAAATTTATATTCTACAATATAGATAAACGCTATCAATTAATAGTTTTTTATTGTACTGCAAGATCACATTATTTGGTAGCATTTCCCTCAATTAGGAAGATGTCAACCTCAGACAGCAAGCAAGAGAAATAACTCTGGATTGTCAGCAGCGCTCATCAATACCATATAGCTGCTATACGAACCCCTCTTGGAGCGCTTCATCAAATTTTAATGTGCTTATTGTCTCTAGTATTGCTAATATCAGAGTTTATTGAATGATACAGTATGAAACAAAGTATTAATAAGGTATCACATAGCGTGAGCAATAAGCTGCTTGATTGAAGCGGATTACCAACATGGCGCCTCTCGATATACATTCAACACAAAACCACGGTTGAATATAAGACACGACATACGCTTTTGACAAGTTTCTGTAGGTATAGATTTCTTCATAGACTTTTATGTTATTGATAAAAAGAAGCATGCAATACCGACTGTTGTTCCTTAGAACTTCTGGAGATCTGAGTCCACGTGATATGGCAAGCGTGAACTCTCGCGAGATTTCATCATGATTCTGGATATCAAAATATTGGGCCCTGTCTTAAAGCAATTCACACAAAGGCTTCTTTTCATCTTTATGATCATCAGGCACTTTAACAAAAAATATCATCTAAAGTTTAGTTTTTTCGTCCGCCGGCAGCAAAATGAATTCAATAAAATGCCAATGAAAATGTTGTGTTTTCGTGAGTGCATAGACAAAAGATATGTATTTATATTCAGAATGCACAAATCTCAAACAAGAGAGAGCTGTATCTATTCATTAATATTTATAATAGTCTATTGAGAGTGAAGGGGTGTCGAGGGGAGTGTTCATTAACCGATAGTGTTTGTATTGTAATTTAGACCTAAATTTCAATAGATTTACCCTTGTCACTTTCCTGTTTTTAGAATCTATCTAGTTCATGCACAAAGGAGATTCAGTAAGAATTTTGATAATAACTATTTTAAACTTATTAGCTAGCCCCATGGCCTGGGTATATTCACAATGGTGTATTTCGCATGATTATACAGCTAAAGGCAGGGCACATCTAATTAATTTCTTGATATAAAAATGGCATTTATCCACATAACGCCTGACTGGTTATTGCTATATATACACGACACTTGTGTTGTCTTTACACTGTTTAATTTGTTGCAAGCGATTTCTTCAAATTAGATGCCTGATTTAACATCGTCAACGGTTAACATTATTTGAACAAGCCAATGGAGATTCAAGCTGTTAATTAACCGGGTGAAATATGATGGTGTTATTCCAGGGTTTTTGCCCCGTGGTATCTAGTCACGCATCGGCAACTATCCTTATATTTTACACAAACTGAATGGAGATGGTGGTCTACACGGTGTCAACTTCACTTTTTAAACATATTAATGTCGACGTATATGTAAACTTAGATCCATACAACTCAATTATCATCAAAGTCGTATAATTAGACAATCTGCCTCCACAATTAAGATGTAAATACCAGTATTCAATAATCAGCTGAAATTGATCAATCAACCATGGCCTACTGATATCCAATTTTCCTTATGTGAAAGTAAGTCAACTTGAAAGAGATAAGACATTCAAATTGAAAAAATGTGATATGAGCGAATGAGTTTGGTTAGAAAATATCGCTATCGATGTAAATGTTTGATTGCTCTAATGAAAAATATAATATTACTTTGGGATAGAACGACAGTTTGTCCTATGAGAATAATAATATCCCGGATGCTATTTTTAAAAAATACAGTTTTGCTTTTTAATAAATTGGCCCGTTGGAAAATTCCCTCGTCTTAAGTCCTTTCCATATTTCCATACCCAATGGTTCTGTTATGTACTCGATAAAACCTCAAAACTACAACTTAAAATTGTAAACCTTCTTTTAACAATTAACCTCCTATTTGAAATATTAATTTCAGTTAAATAAGATTTGAATGTTAAATTATTTTCAAGTACAATATGTTGTCATCATGTATGTAGTCTTGTTTCAAATAATTAATGAGTGTCAGTACATCTTTAAATCCAGACGAAAAAATTATTTGAAAAACATAGACATAAAAAAATCTGTGGTTGAGGGAAAAAGCTAGTTGCAGGCTAATTTTCTTAAAAGTATATGTAAAGGCGCTTGTATGAATAAATTCCTCTTACTTTAGCTTTTAACATATCTTATATATGTACTACACATTAAAATATTGAAATTACTGTGATGGAATAGTATGGAATTTAGTCCGTTTTAAGAAAATCATCATCGAAGTTGGGCTTTTGATGACGATATAAC